TCAATGTGCAGGGGGATCATGTAAGGAGGGTGGTGTTGTTGCAGATGAAATGTAATGAGCCTGAGATGTTGTTGAATGGGAAAGGATATTGATGATATAAGTGGATGGATTTGTGTTAGGGGTAGAGTGCTCATTGTGAGATGGGGATGATTGTAGGGTTGGGGAGGTTTTGGGAAAAGGAAATGTCTTCTGTTCGTGTATTTGAGATGTGAAGCAGACCTAGGTGGTGGGGAGGATGTTAAGTGGTTTATACGGGGGGATGGGGGTGGGGGAGGGTACGGAGTGGTTGGGTGGGGGTAAGGTGAGATATGAGGAACTGTAGTTTTAAATGTTTGATATGGAGAAATTTTTGGAATTAGGGGGGGGGGGGGTGTGTTGGGTGGCGGCTTTTTGGTTGAGTATTGATCTTATCCGTTGTTCTGAATATGGGAGCTGTACCAGGGGTTGTGAATGTCGGCGTGTGTGAAGCGTGGGTAGGATGGGTTTGGTTTGGATGCGTTGAAGGGGAATGGCGAAGTTTGATCTTGGAATATGGAGATGGAAAATTAAACCAACGATTGGAGATTGTATGTGGGGATGAGTAAAGATGTATACAGCATTTGTGTGAGGGGTTGGGGCGGGGTATAATTTTAAAATAAATGGGATATGTGGATATGTAGAATAGAGATGAGTGTTGTGAGATATATGAGAATAAGTGCGTTGATGGGACTGGGGAAAGAATATATGGGAGAGGTCATGGACAGGGATTTAAAGAATGAACATGGTGGAAATGGGGATAGGAAGAATATGGATTGTGGAGTATTATGTATTGAGAAGAAATTGTGTCGGTATGTTAGAAAATAGCGATTATTTGTAAAAATGGTAGGATAGGTAGGATGGTGGGCAGGGGTGTTATTGAAGAGGATATGGATAATTGAATTATACGTTTTTATATGGATGGGGTAATGATTTGGTTGGATATATGGTGGGGGGTTTCATTGGGATATATAACTGGTGGGTGAATTTGGTTTTGGTTATTGGTGCAGAGGAAATGTATGTGAATGGTTGTAGGGAGTAGATATTGACGGTGGATTGTGTGGGGTTATTAAGGTAGAATTCCCCTAACATGGGGTGGTGTGTTATCTGTTGGGTGATAATACATGGTGTGGGAAATAGGTTTTTTGTTTATAAGGAGGTTGATTGGGAGGCATCTTTAGTGGTTATCTTGGAGTGTTTTTTTAGGATGTTTAGGGGGGGAGGTTGAGGTCCGTTGTACGGGGTTTTGAAGGTGATGTTGGTAGATGCTTTTGTGTGAACATTATGTGGTGATTTTTATTGGGATTAGTTGTAGTGAGTGGTGTGGGGAGGGACTTGTATCTGATTGATTTTGGGAGATGATATTGTTTACTATAGTCGGTAGAGGAGGAAATGAAGAATGGTTTAGGAGTTATGGTGTTTTTTGTGAGGGGTATCTTCTTAGTCTAGGAAGAATTAGGGTTTAGAGAGGTTTGGGAGTGGTTGAGGTTTATAGTTAGGTGCATTTGATAATATCACGTGAAATATTATTGATTTAGTTGCAATATGGTTGTTTGTTATATGGGAAATAGAATGGTGTAGAAGGTATGATAATATGTATGAAAATGTATGGAGTTTTATTATAATGGGAGGTTATGGAGTTGATGACGTGTATAATATGATGTTAATGACTATTTGGTTGTGTTGATATTGTGGGGCGTTAGTTTATGATGGCGATATGACGTGCGAAAGGATTTTAGATTGACAAATTAATAGTTATGGCAGTTGGGGGGTAGTATTTTTGTGAAATAGTAATAAGTGGTGGATAGTGTAGGAGTATAGCCTAGTAATGTGATGGAGTATTAGGATTTAATATTAAATTAGGAGCGTGCAGTGTAGGTGTTTATTTAGAGGGTATGATTGGGTAGTGGGTGTGTTAGGTGATATGAAGGTTTTGACTAAGGTGAGTGATGTGAAATAAAGGGAATGCGGGGAATGTGGGTGCATAAGGAGGTGGAGGGGTAATGTTTCCTTTGAGATAATAATTAGTTTGATAAATTTTATGTGGGAGGTGAATTGTGTTGGAGTTTATGGTTGGGATTGGATTGTACAGTAGTTGTGAAATTATTGGTTTGAAAAAGGGATCGATATTATTTTCGGTTGTTTTAAGTGTGTGGAGGATGATGAATTATTGTGAGTGCCTATGGATGTTGATTTGAAATGGGGTTATGGGATTTTGTATTTTATAGTTGTTTTAAAAGGGAGTGGGGGTTATGTCGGTGGGGAGCGGTGAAATTGGATAGTAGTACTAGGGGTGTAATATGAGGGGAAAATATATTACATATTTCTCTTTAAGAAAACTTTTGGATCCGGTAGGGGGGTTATGGTAAATCTGTTTGTAATTTGCCGTGGGGTATAAAGAAATGGTGGGTTTTTAGATGATTGGATAATTTGGGCTGGGGATAATTATAGTTGGTGGATGTCATGTTGGGGGTGTTAAGTGGGAGGGTAGGGATGTGGGGGTTAAATTTGGTGGTATGGTAGCGGGTGTATGGGTTTAGTAATGTGGAATTGTGGGTATTAGGTTATGTATTAAGGGTAGGGGGTGAATAAGTGACGGGTAGTTTGGGGAGTGTGTTGTTGTTAAGGCATAGATTGTATAGGTGTGTTTATTTGGAGTGTCGGTTGTTTGTTTGGGACGACTGGGGTTTCTAAGTATAAGTGTTATTTATTATGTTGGTTTTTTTAATTTTTCTATTTTTTAGGAAGATTTTTTATGTGTTTAATGTTATTTTTTTTAGGAGGGTTTGTTTTTATAATTGGGGCGATATCAAATTTTTTGTGTCCGCTTTGCTTAGTAGGGATATTTGTTTTTTTTTTAAGGGTGAAATTATAGGGAGTGTGGATTTTTTAATAAGCTTTTTTGTTGTTGTTGCTTGTGTTTATTTTTTAGGAAGAATATGTAATTTATTTTTTGTTATTGATGTATATTGTTTTGGTTGTTATTTTTTTTATTAGGTGGAGGGGTTTTTAAGGTTTTAATTTTTTTTTTTTATATTAGGGGAGGGGCGGATATATTTGGGTTGTGGTGTTTAATTTTTGATTTTTTTTAATTTAGAGGAATGGATGCATTTTTTTTTTTTCTTGGATAAGTGTGTGGTGGAGATGTTAATATTTTTTTTATTGTTTTTTTTTAGGTTGTGACGCGGTAGGAGGTTAGGGTTTTGGTTGTGTGTTTTGGGTATTGAGTATTGTTGAGGGGGTTTTGGATCTGGTTTTTTTGAGGGTATTGGATGTTTTTTTTGGAGGGTGTTGTTTTTGAGTTAGATGTTTGGGTTATTGTGGTGGGGGGGGTATTGTTTTGATTGGGTGGGATAGATTGTTTTTGTATATGGTAAGTGGGATTATTTGGTTTGAGTGTGATGGTTGTTGTGTGTGTTAGTGGGGTATAAGGTGTGGAGAGTTAGTAGCAAGTGGGCGTGGGTGGTTATATGGTGTTAGATGTTGGTTGGAGGTTGTAGGTTTGTGTGTGGGTGTGATTTTTTTTTTTTGTTGTATTGTTGAGGGGTAATTTTGTTATTGAGTGTTTGTATGGTATGGGTGGTGGGAGTGTTGGTGGTTTTATGTGTTTTTATTTTTGGGTCCTTGTTTGTTAGAAGGGGCGGCGAGCGTCGTGGGGGGTGGGTAATAATGGGGTGTTGGAGGGGGACTGCAATTTGGGTGAATTGAATGTGGTGGCCGAGAGTGGAAGGTCCGGGCTTGTGCGGGAGGGGATAGCGATGAGGTGTGTTGGGGGATTTTGGGGGTTTAGGTGTGGCGGGGCGGAGGTAGTAGTGTGGGATGAAACGTTGGAGTGCGTTGTGAGGGCATTTTCGTTGTGCTGCGGGGGAGGCGTTCGGGCGGTGCTGGGGTGTGGAGATATAGCAGGTTGTCTTAGTATAAGAGAAGGGGTATTTAGGTATGGGGGTTTAATGTGGAGGTATTGGGGGGTTGGGTATGGTGGTTTTTTTGTTTTTTATGGTTGTTCGGGGTCTGGGGAGGGCAATGGGGGGATGGCTGGGTTTGCTTCTCGTGGGGTAGAGGGGAGTGATTCGATTTGTGAGGGGGGGGGTTTGGGGGGAGTGGTTAGGTGTGGTGTGGGTTGGGAGGGTGGGGGTGGGTATTTTGACGTCGGAGGGGAGGTGGGGATGGGGTGGGAGGTTCGCTGAGCGGGAGAGGGGGTGTAGGGTCTTTGGAGGGTGGGTGGGGAGAGGTGGGGAGTCGCTTATGTATGGAGGTTTGCACGGGTTTGATGTGTTTATATTTGTGGGGGGGTAGGTTGGGGGGTGTGGGATTGGGTAGGGAGGGCGGGGGGCGCGGTGAGTAGGGAGGGTGTGCTAGTAGGGGTTGGGTGTGCAGGGAGATGATCAGGAGGTAGCGGGCGGTGGAAATAGTGTAGGATCACTTGGTCTCTAGCGTCGCGTACTATGGGTAGGTTTGGAGATTTGGGGAGAATAATCAAAGTGTTGGTGGGAGGTAGGGGTGGGGGGCGTATCGGAGTGGGGTAGTGTGAACAGCAGAGGGTGCGTCGACGAGCCGTGCTGGTTCGGCGGGGAGGAGTGGTAGGTAGCGGTGGGGGGTTTGTGTTGTGCGCGTGGGTGGGGGGGTGCTGGGTTGTGGGGAGGTTGTGGAGGATGCGGATCGGTGGGTGGCGAGATGGTAGGTCGAGGGTTTGTGGGAGGGGGGTGCGGGAGCGGTTGTTTGGGGGTGTGGTGGGTTTTTTAATGGGGGGGGGGGGGGGGGGGGAAGGGGGGAAGGTTTAAAGGGGGTTTTTTTTGGGGGGTTTAAAGGGGGGGTTTTGGGGGAAAAAAAGGGGGGGGGGAAAGGGGGGGGGGGGGGGGAAAAGGGGGGGGCCCCAAATTTCCCCCTTTTTTCCCCCCCAACCCCCCGGGGGTCCCCCCTTTTCCCGGGGGGGTTTTTTTTTGGGCCGCTCCTCTGAAGTCCGCCAAGGAGAATTCGTCGTCGCCATGGGAGCGCCGCACTTACTGCGCAATACCATCACCTCCGGAATCGTCAGCTCGGTACAGCGAGGGAGCCGAGAACTCGGACTGTCCAACAAGGACATGGACTACATCCAGACCGACGCCATCATAGACGTGAGTGATGTCATCACCCTCATCATCATCATTATATATCCGGAGTGATGTCATCGCCATCATTATATACGTGGGGTGATGTCACCAGTCCCATATTCTGCCCCATGGAAGGCAGACCCACCCCTAGAGGAACACCAATCCTGGAGGAGGAATGGAGTCCACAGGGGAATCCCCTCCCCCTGACCCCTAACTACCAAGCATACTCCCATTTCTCTCTGCTCCTCCCACTGTGCTCTGCTGAGAGCTGTGATTGGCTCCCTGTGTTCGATACATAGGGACTCCATTAGGCTGACCTTAGAAGTACCCCCTCCCCCACACCGTCCCAAAAAATGTGGGCGGGGCCAGGAAGGAGTAAGTCATAGGATCAGATGAAGGCGGAGAGTTTCGTTGTCTTACAGTTTGTCCTTCTATCTCCTTCCAGGTTGGTAATTCTGGAGGCCCGCTGGTCAACCTGGTGAGTACCTGTCTAGTATATACTCCTTGTATACTCCCCCCCCCCCCCCCCATTTATATTGTACTCATCTTACCTCCCTCCATTATATACTCATAGTACCACCCCCCATGTAAGAATGAACTGCACCTGTGGCAGCCAATCAGACTCCCCTCCCCCGACCTGTGGCAGCCAATCAGACTGCTCCCTCCTGTGGCAGCCAATAAGACTCCTCCCTCCTGTGTTCTCTGTGTCTCAGGACGGGGGAGGTGATCGGGATTAACACCCTGAAAGTGACGGCCGGCATTTCCTTCGCCATTCCCTCCGACCGAGTGCGGGATTTCCTCCAGCGGGGGAAGAGAAGAAGAAATCAGAGTAAGAAGGGGGAGGGGCATCACCTGGGTGTGCCAAGGTTTCTCCGCCCACACTGAGTGCAGGGGTCATTATATGGGAGGTCTTACTGTATCCAGGTAGATGAGGGGGCGGGAGTATAGATCTTGGGGCAAGGGTGTGAATATATCCAGGTAGATGAGTGGGGCAGAGTATAGATCTGGGGGAGGGGTGTGAATGTATCCTGGTTGATGAGGGGCGGAGTATAGAACCTCGGGGGGAGGGGTGTGAATGTATCCTGGTTTGATGATGAGGGGGCGGAGTATAGAACCTCGGGGGAGGGGTGTGAATAGATCCTGGTTGATGAGGGGCGGAGTATAGAACCTCGGGGGAGGGGCGTGAATATATCCTGGCTGGTGAGGGGGCGGAGTATAGAACCTGATCGGAGGGAGGGGTGTGAATATATCCTGGCTGGTGAGGGGGCGGAGTATAGAAAACCTCGGGGGGGGGGGATATATCCTGGTTGATGAGGGGGCGGAGTATAGGAAACCTCGGGGGAGGGGTGTGAATGTATCCTAGTTGATGAGGGGGCGGAGTAAAGAACCTCAGGGGGGAGGGGTGTGAATGTATCCTGGTTGATGAGGGGGCGGAGTATAGAACCTCGGGGGAGGGGTGTGAATGTATCCTGGTTGGTGAGGGGGCGGAGTATAGAACCTCGGGGGAGGGTGTGTGAATGTAGAACCTGGTGGTGGTGAGGGGGCGGGCGGTATAGAACCTCGGGGGAGGGGTGTGAATGTATCCTGGTTGCGATGAGGGGGCGGAGTATAGAAACCTCGGGGGTAGGGTGAGGGGTGTGAATAGATCCTGGTTGATGTGAGGGGGCGGAGTATAGAACCTCGGGGGAGGGGCGTGAATATATCCTGGCTGGTGAGGGGGCGGAGTATAGAACCTTGTTGGAGAATATATCCTGGCTGGGTGATGGGGGCGGAGTATAGAACCTCGGGGGGGGGGGGGGATATATCCTGGTTGATGAGGGGGCGGAGTATAGAACCTCGGGGGAGGGGTGTGAATGTATCCTGGTTGATGAGGGGGCGGAGTAAAGAACCTCAGGGGAGAGGGGTGTGAATGTATCCTGGTTGATGAGGGGGCGGAGTATAGAACCTCGGGGGAGGGGTGTGAATGTATCCTGTTGGTGAGGGGGCGGAGTATAGAACCTCGGGGGAGGGGTGTGAATGTATCCTGGTTGGTGAGGGGGCGGAGTATAGAACCTCGGGGGGGAGGGGTGTGAATGTATCCTGGTTGGTGAGGGGGCGGAGTATAGAACCTCGGGGAGGGGTGTGAATGTATCCTGGTTGGTGAGGGGGCGGAGTATAGAACATCGGGGGAGGGGGTGTGAATGTATCCTGGTTGGTGAGGGGGCGGAGTATAGAACCTCGGGGGAGGGGTGTGAATGTATCCTGGTTGATGAGGGGGTGGAGTATAGAACCTCGGGGGAGGGGTGTGAATGTATTCTGGTTGGTGAGGGGGCGGAGTATAGAACCTCGAGGGAGGGGTGTGAATATATTCTGGTTGGTGAGGGGGCGGAGTATAGAACCTCAGGAGGGGTGTGAGCATGCGGTGGTAGACTGGGGAGGAGTTGAGTTGTGGTCATGTGACCGAGGCGTTTCCTCCGCAGGCTCCTGGTTCCGGAAGTCGGAGGTGCCTCCTCCTTCTGGTCACATGGTGTGTTTGCTATCAGAGTGATTGCCCCGCCCCTATTCCCGTGTCTCCTCCTGGTCACATGGTGTGTTCTTTGCTATCAGAGCGATTGCCCCGCCCCTATTCCCAAGTCCCCTCCGCCTGGTCACATGGTGTGTTCTTTGCTATCAGAGTGATTGCCCCGCCCCTATTCCCGAGTCCCCTCCGCCTGGTCACATGGTGGGGGTGTTCTTTATTGCCCTAGGGGTTGATGATGTCATTTGGGGGCAGGCCCTCCTTGGTGGGCGGTTCTAATGGCCCTGTAATTTTTCCCTCCAGGATTCTGGCAGACATGAAGTTCCGGGACCCCAACTTTCCTGACGTCTCCCATGGAATTCTCATCCACAGAGTCATCATCGGCTCCCCGGCACACCAGTGAGCCCAGCATTCAGGTCCAAGGGGTGGGGGGACAGGTGTACCATGTGACGTCACTGTAGATAGAAGTACACTGACATGATGGGAGGGGGGAGGAGTCAGGTGTACCATGTGACGTCACTGTAGATAGAAGTACACTGACAGATGATGGAAGGGGGGAGGAGTCAGGTGTGTCATGTGATATCACTGACCGATGATGGGACATTTCATGATACAAAGTTCTTCCAAAAGGGATTCATAATCTCACAAGCCAATCAAACGTCACGTTTTTACGTTGTGGTCGCTGAGGCTGGTCATCATAGGGACCACTGGTCACAGATCCACTCTGATGGGCTCTGTGCATTCCTCGGGTGATCTATCTAATGGTGGCACGGTCACGGTGTGCCCATGCCTTGCAGGAAGGGCGTTTATAAACACTCAGATCTGAAGCGCCCAACAACCCGACGTTTAACCCCTTCATGGTGGAGGTATAACAAACCTTAACTCTTTCCTGGCTGGCCATGTGTCCTCAGAACTGCCCCAATTGGTGTAATTTCTGAGGGCCCCTCCTTCCTTGGTTTTGATGGGTTCTGGTGGCTCTGGTTGGGTATTACTTTCTGTCTGGAGTCAGGTGGTGGGTCCTTTCTTCCTCCTGGGTGGGTCCTTTCCTCCACTTGGATGGGTCCTTTCCTCCACTTGGATGGGTCCTTTCTTCCACTTGGGTGGGTCCTTGCTTCCTATTGGAGGTTTTCTTCCACTTTGGTGGGTCCTTTCTTTCTCATGGGTGGGTACTTTTTTTTCCACTTGGTGCATCCATGCTTCCACTTGATGGGTCCTTTCTTCCTCATGGGTGGGTCCTTTCTTCCTCATGGGTGGGTCCTTGCTTCCTCATGGGTGGGTCCTTGCTTCCTCTTGGGTGGGTCCTTGCTTCCTCTTGGGTGGGTCCTTGCTTCCTCATGGGTGGGTCCTTGCTTCCTCATGGGTGGGTCCTTTCTTCTTCATGGGTGGGTCCTTTCTCCTTCATGGGTGGATCCTTTCTTCCTTATGGGTGGGTCCTTTTTTCCACTTGGTGGGTCTATGCTTCCTCTTGGTGGGTCCTTTCTTCCTCATGGGTGGGTCCTTGCTTCCTCTTGGTGGGTCCTTGCTTCCTCATGGGTGGGTTCTTTCTTCCTCTTGGTGGGTCCTTTCTTCCTCTTGGTGGGTCCTTTCTTCCTCTGGGTGGGTCCTTTCTTCCTCCTGGGTGGGTCCTTGCTTCCTATTGGAGGTTTCTTCCACTTTGGTGGGTCCTTTCTTCCTCATGGGTGGGTCCTTTTTTCCACTTGGTGGGTCCATGCTTCCACTTGATGGGTCCTTTCTTCCTCATGGGTGGGTCCTTTCTTCCTCATGGGTGGGTCCTTTCTTCCTCTTGGTGGGTCCTTGCTTCCTCTTGGTGGGTCCTTGCTTCCTCATGGGTGGGTCCTTGCTTCCTCTTGGGTGGGTCCTTGCTTCCTCATGGGTGGGTCCTTGCTTCCTCATGGGTGGGTCCTTGCTTCCTCTTGGTGGGTCCTTGCTTCCTCATGGGTGGGTCCTTGCTTCCTCTTGGGTGGGTCCTTGTGGGTCCTTGCTTTCCTCTTGGGTGGGTCCTTGCTTCTTCATGGGTGGGTCCTTGCTTCTTCATGGGTGGATCCTTTCTTCTTCATGGGTGGGTCCTTTTTTCCACTTGGTGGGTCTATGCTTCCTCTTGGTGGGTCCTTTATTCCACTTGATGGGTCCTTTCTTCCTCATGGGTGGGTTCTTTTTTCCTCATGGGTGGGTCCTTGCTTCCTCTTGGTGGGTCCTTTCTTCCTCATGGGTGGGTTTTTTCTTCCCTGGTTCTGGTGGCTCAGACTTCCAGTGTGCGGCTGTTAATGAGCTCTGCCAGCACAGAGCACTGGAGAGGGAGGGCAGGAAGCAGCTTTTTTTCATAGGATGGGAGGTACAGTACTCCATGTGGCCTTTTCTTCTCATCTCAGGGGGGAGGACAGGCCTGGTCTGCGCTGAGGTTGGCACACTGACCCCTCCCATCTCTCCTTGTGTTTCCTCAGAGCCGGCCTGAAGCCTGGTGACATCATCTTGGAGATAAACGCCCACAAGGCAGTGACCGCCGAGGACGTCTTTGACGCTGTGAACAGCCAACCCAAACTCTCCATGACTGTCCGGCGAGGGTACGAGACCCTGATGGTCAATGTCATCCCGGAGCCGGTGGAATGATTGGATGAAGAGCGCCCCCCTGTGGTGATTCGGGGTCATTAGAGGGAGAGGAGTGCTTAGCGGCACGTCGTGACTTTTCCGAGTTCTGGATTGAGACTGACATATCCATCCCCAGAATCCTACCAATTGTGGCCCTTCAGGAGGATCCAATCACCGCCATTGGTAGTCTGAGCACTGCACACGCCTCCTCTACACCCTGAGCGGGAATGGATGGGAGATTAAAGGCGGCCATGTTGGGTGATTGACCCCGAAATGTGCTCTGCCATCATCATCTAGGGAAGTCTGCACTTGGGTCATGTGGTGTGTGCAGGCTCCGCCTCTCTGAGTTTCTGACATTAATTGGGGAGATCCCTGCACCCCATCATCCCTCCAGGTACTGTGGGGGAGGGGAAATTGCAGTCATCTTGCAATGCCGGAGTCCTGGATTTGTTCTCCACATGGGCACCATTTTTCTTCAGAACTCTGTAGAAGGCCCCGCCTTCATGAATAAATACAACCAATGAAAAGCTTCCTCTGGGTCTTCCTGATGTTTGTCTGCACTGATAGGTTCCGGACCTGGGTATGCCTGGGAACCTGAATTTCCTGAGAATAGGGGGCGGAGTGGGGGGGAGGGGCTAATAGTGGCATGCATATCACTGTGATATCAGTGGGAGGGGCTTAAAATGTAAGCCTATGTACAGAGTACAGGGTCAGGGGTATGTAATGTACAGAGTACAGGGGTCAGGAGTGTGTAATGTACAGGGTCAGGGGTCAGGGGTATGTAATGTACAGAGTACAGGGG